CCAGACAGCGTTTCTCGTGATTCTTCGGAAAGGTGGCAACGCTGTTGGAATACCACGCGTCCGTCACGGAACTTGTCGCCACAGAGAGCCGACATGGTGCTCTGGAAGTCGCTGGACTCGTGACTGATGAGAACGTTGAGCACCTCGTTCAAATGACACTTGATCTCCGTCGTGGCTAGCGACGCGTACGCCAGATCCAAGTCGTCTGATCCATCGCCGCTCGGCACCAGTTGATACGTGGTGACGCCGTCCTTGCGTCCTTTGCGGTGCCAGACCCGTGCGTTCATCGCAATCGCGGCGTGTAGCTTCGGGACCGTGGCGAGCAGGTCGTCGGCCATCTGCTGGTCTGTGAAGAGCATGTTCTGCTTGCCGCGACTGCCTCGGATCGCCAATCCACCTCGTCGTTGATCCTGTGGCGGTCGATACGACTTGAAGGTCGACGGTTTGCGCGGATACGACGGAGCTCTAGCGCGCGAAGCGGACCGACCCGAGCGGATACTTCCCGAACGACCGGATCGAGTGCTCATGGTCAAGGACGGTTCGAGTGCTTTGACGCGAATTGGAGAATGGCAATGGTGGCATGGATCGGGATGATAACGGAGACTATGCTGGTCGGATTCTATGCGCCAGACGGTCGTCGTGGTGAGCTCTTGTGGGACGTCGCCAGCCGCGCCACTGACAGCCGTGGTCACTTTCGGACGGATAGACCGGGCGCTCCAAACAGACAGCTCCACCAAAATGACAAGCTGGTCAACGGCAGCGATCCGCTGACTCTGTAGGTCGATGACCAAGACATTTGGAGCCTGAAGGATACACGTTACACTTGTGATCCAATGCAATGCATGCACTGCACGCAGACGCTTTCGCTTCACCAGATAAGATACAACGCGTCGGACAGTGCTCCGTTGCTGGAGATCATCTCTATGATATCCACCCGACAATCGTGCTCGATGGGGAACCACCGCGCTACCCTCTAAACCAAGAGGGTGGCAGTCTGTGCCTCGCGAAAGAGGCCAAGTCGGTCAAGTCATCCGGCGTAGACACCTCGCTACGCACTAATAACGAGGCGTAGAAACGTTATCGTTAGACTGCAACACGTTACGCCAAAATTAATCATAATCGAGTCGTGTTGAGGTGGTCACGTACATCGATTACTAGTATCATTTAAGACCGAGATTAATACTCAGCTGAGTACGCATGCCTGGCTGGGTGATGCTGGTAGAGGAAAGTTGCGCTGATGTTGACTTCAACGTCGCGCAGCTTTTACAGCGGAGTCACGAGTCGTGGCTCACGGATTGGAAACTTACCGGATAAGACAGCCACGCCAGTTCTGATGGTGCTCCTCTCAAGTCTCAACTTGAAACTCAGGCAGGTTGCATACGACCTCTTCAACGAATGCGGGTGGTTCTTCGTGATGGAGTATTCGACCAGAAAATGGTCTGGTGATGCTCGACAGCAGAGCGTCCTTAGCGTCAACACTTAAGAGTTTCGACGGGTGTACTGTTTCAACACCAGGTTTATTGACAACTATTGCAACCTTGTAAAGTTTGCAACTATCTAGCTTGGGATCAGTACGAGGTGAAGCTCAGATCTGCGCCTTCGGGTGCTGACTGTACGATGTGATCAACCATTTGCGGGGTCATCCGCTGGTTGACAGTCTGCCATCCAAGCGACAGCGACTGATCGAAGCTGCCTGTCCAGCAGTGTTCGTATCCACGGCCGTCCGTGACGCCGTACACGATAGAACCGTTGTAATACGGCTCGGTAGTGGTCTTCAAGAAGTCTTCAAGCAGGAAAACGGCGTCGTTCAGGTAGTAGCTGTCGGTGACGCCCACGTACACGTGCAGCTTGTTGACGAGTTTGTGACCGAGTCCCCGGGCGTGCCACTCACGCTGGAGCTTGGCACGAACGTCGTAGTGCGCTTCCCAGTATTCTACGACTTGTGGATTGATCTCACCTGTAAGTTTATCCCAAACGGCAGCAGGGTAGCCGTCCGTGTTGTTTAACGGAGAATACACGGCTTGCCACGCATCCCATTGACCACCGGAACGTCCTCGTGAGCCCATCGCGAGTTCGTGGTGGTTCTCTTCGGCCATCGTTTCTCGAATATCACCGAGATAGTTACGCTTAGCACCGCGGTCCTTCTGAGTCCAGTCACCGCGAGCATAGTAAGCGTTCTTGTTAGCGAAGAGATCCACTTGTTGGAATCTGTGGAAGTCGAACGCATCAGGACAGAACGACCAGCAACCGTTGTACTCTTCGGGATAGTAGACCTGGACGGCGAAGGATTCCCAGCCGCCAGTGGACCCGCCGTACATTGTACGCGCCCATCCTTCACCAATACCACGGAATTTCTTCTCGAGATATGGTAGGAACTCGTACGTGATGGCGTCTCCGTACGGTCCGATGTTAGCGCTGTTGACTGCATACGAATCATCGTAGTACGGATTGGCATGTTGAAGCTGCACGACGATTCCTCTCTTGTTGGTGAACGGATCAGTCGGTTTATCAGACGTCCAGTTGGAGAAGAAGTAGTATCCGTACTGTTCGCCTAGTGACGCGGACGTTGTGTTTGCAGGAGGAGACGGGTAGAAGCTGTGTTCGAACTCGCGACTGTAGTGCGTGTGGTAGATGAACAGAGGATAATGTACATCCTTCATTTCGTCGTCGAAAAAGCGGTGCG